TTCCTATATACATCTTCAACCTCTATCTCCTGCTTACCAGGTTCTCTTATCACTACTCTGCATGGTATACTATATTTGTTGTAGTTGATGAAACTGTGTTGGTACATTATCATGAAATAAAACCCACAGCTTGCTTTAGGGCTCACTCTAAACATAGAGTGAGCTTACTCTGTGTTTATATTCTATGCATTTAGACAAATGTGTAAGGACATGTACCCACCATTACAGCATAGTTTTGTTGCCTTAAAAATCCCATTCTCCACCTATGCACCTTGTCCTGCTCCTCCCAGCCACCACCAATCCTTTTCTTTTTTTCTTTCTGGGGGTGGGGCAGAACCAGGGATTGAACTCAGGCCCTTGTGCTTGCCAGGGAAGTGCTTATTCTACTGAGCCATCTCCCCAGCCCCACGCCAATCCTTTTATTAGATTTGCCTTTCCCACAGTGACACATGTTGAAATCATACGGCATGCATCCTTTCCACTCTCAGATGATTTCAATGAACAGTAAAGACAGACATGAATAGCTCTGGTCTAAGATTTGGTAAAGAGTGGTGGTAGACATGGTGCTTTATATTCCTAAATCTAGTGTGGGCAGAGTTCTCATTTCCTTTTGCTATATCCATCCATCCCTCCATCCCTTCATCCATGCATCCTTTAAATGTTTGTCCAGGGCCTTCTGTAATCAGACACTGGGTTAGACACTGAACTCATTCAAAACAGCTCCTGCTCTCAAGGATCTTACAGGTAAGAACAGGGGGCTGCAGGTTGAGCCCTGGGGACTGTCACTGTTGGGGTGAACAGAACCTCACATCACAGGAGATGGACATTGGTCAAGTTGCCAAGCCCATACATAGTTGATTTTAAACTTGCATTTAAATGCTTTATAGGAAAAGTTCATGGCGAGCGGCTGTGAACAGCTGCAAAGAGCAGCAGGGAAGGCTTCCCAGAGGAAAGAAGGCTCTGGTTTACATCTGAAGTTGAGGAAGAATTAACTAGGTCACCAGTAATGCAGGCAGATGAAGAAAGCTCCAGAGAGACCCATTTGTGCAAAGGTCCTGTGGCAGGAGGACTCACAAAGCTTTCCAAGAACTGAGGTGAAGTTAGGAAAGAGAATAGTGCAAGATAAAGCTGGAGAGTAGATAGGAGATGATGTTTGCTAAGATGATTGCTCTGGTTATAGTGCAGAAGCTGGGAGTGGAAGAGCCAGGAAAACAGAGAGCCCCATCAGCATGCCACTGTAGTGTCCAGACAAAAGAGGATATGACGGTGGCCAAAGTGGAAGGAAGCCAAGGGGTAGGTGAGGGGA